ATGAGGCTGCGAAACACAGTTTGTTTAGCTGTAGTAAGTTTGTATCAGGGTATTTGTATTTTAACTCGTTCAGTCACAGCAATGTACTCATTTAACTCGCTCTGCCCTATGAAGTTGTTATTTTAACTAATAAATGCTTGGTTCTCAAGGACTGAGAACACCACCAGACAGAAGATGCTAAAACAGAAATGTGTGCAGCGCATGTTTAGTGCAATAATGGGATAGGCCAGAGGATAGGAAAAGTATAGCAGCTTTGTCAAACCTTATAAACGAATGGTGGTCCGCTTGGCATTAAGTGAGTTAACAACATGTACATTTCCTGAAGTGCGATTTCAGCGAAAAATGAAAAAAAAAAAAAAAAATCATAGACGGGCATGCAACTATTGCCGCAGTATCAGAAGAAGCTGGCGACTATCGCAAACTGATTATATATAGAGTATATAATAGAGCTCAAGCAAATTCACACATGTAGAGGATAAGATTCGAGAAAAGTGGACAAAATACGCCTACGCTTTTCTGAACGTAAAAGAAAAAGTGAGTTTAGTACTATTCACATCCAAATACGAAGAACCTAAAATATAGAACAAGAGGTTGCAGTAGCTATCGGATTCAGTGCGCAAAAAAAAGGCCACTGGTTTTAAAGGATTGAACTCCATTGAGAAGAAACTTAAATTACCTGTCTTCTTCAAATTTCCTGAAAATCTGGATAGAAAGACACGCACATGAGAATGTAGGGCAAAGAGACAACATAGTGTCAATATTGAAAAGAAGAAACGATTGCACGCGATTTTAGCACCAATAGAGAAATTTCCCTATTATGTCATTTGAAGAAAATTTTAGAATTTTGCACCAATAAATGAGGCCCATTGTAGAAACGATCTGACCATCGACACAAGACCATGTTTTGACACAGTGCTAGAACTTTAATCCTTAATAGGGGGAGGGAGGAGAGAGAGAGAATTTACATACAGCTTTGGACAATACAGAGATAGGAACAAGAATCCAAAAAGCAAATAACATTACGCCTGCACCTTACCCTAATCTTGCAACACTCGGCTGTTCGAACTGAGAGGGGAAATAAGGGGAAAGCATCCTTTTCCACACCTTCAGGTGTGCTGGGCATGCAGGGCTGGACCTATATTTTATCGATCAATCGGCACTCAGTGGATGATGTTGTCAACATCACGCCGGCCACCTTGACTTCCTATGACTACACCTGGTACCCATTCAAGCATGAGAGGAAAAGACACATTATAAATACAATCCCAGGAAGGCGAACCCTTTCAACAAATGTCTGCAGAAAGCGGATGTGTCGCCGATAAAGACGCAAATATCATAGCCACGTTGTGAATGGGCGCAATACATTTACATCTTCGGATGAGCACAGAGGAAGAAGAACACAATATGTATCCCACCTTCAAGTTGAAGTTGTCAGAACCAAACGTTAACCAGAAAACACGAGATAACACTTACACAGGGAGAGCTCTGAGAAAGGCTGTGAAGAAAACTAGACAAGACAATGTTGTTAATAAAGTAATTTAAAAACTACAGAAACAATTGTTAAAGTTAATATGTTCAAAGTACTCTACGTAAACTTGTCTAGAAAAACCACAGCAAACAAAAACTATACCCATCATTGAATTTATTGAAAAAACAAAACCACGTGACGAGAATCTTGCCGGCCTCAGACGTTATTGTTTAAAAACAGGCACATGACTCAATGCTTCGAAGGTGATGGCATAAATAATTCACTCGGCATTGAAAGCCTGTAATACGAAAATGTACATCAACAAGATACAAAGAAAGATCTAGAAGGTGGTGGATGCTGCCAAATCCCAGCATACCAAGCCGCTAAGCGCGATCTATCTCGGCAACCAATCAACGGTTAGTATTCACAACTTCAGCTTATATGTTTTTATACAACATTATACTGTCCACACAGTCCAACAGTGTATACACTGCTGTCTTTGGGAATATTACTTTATGAGGCCACAATTCCTTCAACTGTGAGCCTCTCTTCACACCATCTGAAAGCTATAAGCCACAAACTGCTCGTCTCTGAAATTACAATGCGATCAGTAGAGCACCGAATTGTAAAACTCAATCACTAAACGATCTAGCACAAGAAGCGGAGAAAGGGAAACCTCAGAGAACTAATCGTTTTCCCAAACTCAATATTTGTTAATCTGCTAATTGTTTCTGCTGCATCACATATCCTGGTGTTGATTTCTTGGTCTAGAGATATAATGTAGGTTTAGCATTATATATCAAATATGCCGGAAGGTGTGGAAAATGGTCCTTTACTTATTTAGCATTTACTTTCCTCTAATGCCACATATTATTTCATCTGCAGCTGCTGTATGCTGTAGACCTGCATGTAACTTCTGGCAGACATGTTAGTGAAGATGTCGTTGACGATGTCGTTAACGATGTTACCGATGAACTGGATGCTCCAACTGAAGTCGTTGATACTGAAGTAAGTTTGTAAATTATACAACACTTTCCTTTAAAATTTTTAAATACACGACACTTCAAAATTCAAATTATTTAAAATTCAAAGATTTAAAAAAAAAAACACACACACACAAGTCAACCACCAAAATGTGCTGAAAAAAAAATAGTGAGCAAAGGCACTAATAAGAACACTGTTAAAAAGTAGACCTTTAGGCCTGTAATATTGTATAAAGCTACATAATTTTCAAAACATCATTAACACTATTAGTTTTTTAGTGTCACAAAATGTTCATCGGCCATTATCTACCGTAAAACACAACATATAGTTTTGTAAACACAAACAAATCTTGAAAAAAAAAAAAAAAAAAAAAAAAACAGTAAAAAAAATTATCCTATAATAATTCAAAAAGAAAAGACCAGTGTAAGGTATGTATATCCAAACTGCCATCATCAACAACCAACATGGCCACTATGTAATCACTAACTCACCAACATCACCGTTATCAACAGATTAAAAAAATCTTCTTGTGTCATTTATTCTCCAACATAGCCTCTGTCACAAGACGTCTGTCACTTCAAAATTCAAATTATTTAAAATTCAAAGATTTAAAAAAAAAACACACACACACAAGTCAACCACCAAAATGTGCTGAAAAAAAAAATAGTGAGCAAAGGCACTAATAAGAACACTGTTAAAAAGTAGACCTTTAGGCCTGTAATATTGTATAAAGCTACATAATTTTCAAAACATCATTAACACTATTAGTTTTTTAGTGTCACAAAATGTTCATCAGCCATTATCTACCGTAAAACACAACATACAGTTCTGTAAACACAAATAAACCTTGAAAAATACAGTAACAAAAATAATCCTGTCATAATTCATAAAGAAAAGACCAGTGTAAGGCATGTATATCCAAACTGCCATCATCAACAACCATCATGGTCACCATGTAATCACTAACTCACCAACATCACCGTTATCAACAGATTAAAAAAATCTTCTTGTGTCATTTATTCTCCAATGGAGCATAGCCTCTGTCACAAGACGGCAGTGTCACGTGTCTGAAACGGTGTCACTTATTATAATAAAAGGTGTACAAGATACTCTGGAATGGCAAAATGTTGAGATGATGGCTTGTATGGGTCTAGGCGGCAAACCCGCAGCTCCAACAATTATCCATGTAATTCTAGCTGTTGGCACCAAAGAATTTCCTAGCCACAGCTTGGCTAGACTTCCTAGCCACTTTTACAGCACCAGAAGGGATAGGTTCACTATCAGAGTCAAAACACAGTACAGACGAAATCTGATTGAATAACAACAACACACAAGAACTAACTTAAATAAATCTTGAAAATCAAGATACCAACAAACTTACTTTCCAAATAGCAATACATCATGTAGTCAGGTCATAACAATATAAAACTATTCAAGTGACTGACCGAGAATGTCTATGAGAACCAAGACTGTCTCATGAACTGCCAAAGGTCGCGATGTCATTTTCATCATAACCCTGAGTTGATGTATGGTAAGGGCAGGCCTTGTGCACAAGGCTGCGGATGTGGTAACCTCGTCTCAACTGTTTATACTCATCTGGCAGTTGTAGACAATACTTGAATGTCTCCTCCCCACAGTCAACATGTAGACCTTCAAAAGCATTTGCTACTTTCCGTCCTTTTTCGGATGAAATTTTTCGTTATTTAAAACCCTACTCTGGCTCTTGCCAAGGGCCGCAATATAGCCCGGCCATAAATATGGCCTTAGAGCTGAACGCGGTTTCTGGGACCACTCCACGGTGATCCTCATCCACATGGTGGCACATTGTGTCATCGGGTGTTTATCGCTTGTGTGATGTCCTGGTGGGATAGCAAGTCAATCAGTCAAGCATTTGCCTCCTAACTGAAATCTTGCACCAATGTTCAAGTTAACATGGCAATGTAACATTTAGATCTCAGATGAAATATATTTATATCAAACAATTTAAGTTTAAAGTTTATAACCCCAACATGGGTGATGCACAGATAGTCTATTACAAAAAAAGTGTTAACAAGTAGGGCCTGGTCTAGTCAGCGGCTGGTGGCGTTCTGAAGTGGCTAGACCCTTAGATAAGACACCTGATGATGATAAAGAATGAGTATCATTTGTAACATAGGTGATGTGATACCATATGTAGTATCTCCAGATGGTGATAAGATGCACTACACAGGTTACCACGAGGTATCTTGATGGCACTGCCCGGTGAAAATGGGTCGTTCTTGATTCTTTTTTGTCTTCGAGGCAAACCAGTACTGTCAGGATCTTCAATACTTCACATCCTGATAATACATTGAAACCCGGCGTTAGACAACCAGATCTATATACCTCCTTCCCATTGCTATCTCACACATCATTCAGTTACAGAGGCTCACATGACAGTGACTGGCATTCATAGGGAAGAAATTAGACCAAAGAGTAAGAATCTAAATGTCCCTCACAAGTTAAGTTAGAGCTGATAGCTGTGACATTTACGATGCCCAAATTCTCCCACATATGCAGGGTGAAACTGCACATGCCAATAATAAGAATAAAATTGACTGCCATCTTTCAATTGAAAGATGCCTATACTAAGTCATGTAACCACAGAATGCTGTAGTAGTCAAGCAGGAAGATTATAAAATGCAATCAATTCTGCCCCTCCGAGACACACCACCGATTGCTTAGCATTTATTGACATCCATCATTCCAATTTATGTAATGCGAGTGTGCGCGTGCAGACAATATCTCATACCTGCACAAGTCTCCGATAGAAGAAGAAGCCTCGGCATAAGTTAATTAAAGTACAACTTACAATATACATAGGTAAAATTCTTTGGAGAAACGGTTCTTCCAATTAAAATACGTTAGAAGTGACAATCAAGACTTCCTCATGCCAACTGTCCACTCGGGAGTTGCATCAAGAATAGCGCTACTTTTTAAAGAGTTCCAGCACCAGAGGCGAAGAAGATTCCTTCTGCTAATATAGGCGTTGGTTCGGCGATAGACACTGGCCAATCCACTGATCAAATATGCTTTTCCTGCGAGTATATTCACCATATAACTAATTCCAGATGGATTTAGGGTTGAATAGGCTTCAGTTTAGTGTACCCTGGCCCGTACTTATGAACTAGGTACAATTTATTTATGGTGGAATATTTCACATTCTTATGTGAATATTGGCATAGCGGGGTACAGATTAAGTACTGAACCAACTAGCAGGGGTGTGTTTTGCTGGCTACGTGACAGCCTCACAACTAATTCATGCAACCTCTGACACCCTTTGATTGCACAATCTTAGTCTGGGTGGCAGACAAACGGGTCAAGGCCAAGATGCCGCGTTCAACCTTGAAAGAATTTACAACCAGTCCAGCAGACCGGTGTAAATTACGCACCTGTGCGGATAAAACATTTTTATTATTGTTTCCAGCAATGTACTTTTATTTTTCCTTACTCTTGTTCATTTGCTTTCTACTTGACATTATTTCAGGTCTCAGAGAACAGCAGCGCATCGAACCATCTCCTACTCTCAAGGGAGAAAAGAAAAGCAATAAAGTATTTGCAATATCGCTGGAAACAAAATGAAATACCATTTGAAATTGATTATTCAAAATTTAACAGTACACATGTTTATGAAATCTTCAAAGGGATGAATGAATGGCAGACGTACACATGCCTCAGATTTAGACCACGGAAACAGCAAGACCAGAATTACGTCACATTTGAACACCATGAAAGCAAGTGCCAAGCTGTTATAGGAATGAGTCATGCAGGCCAGACGATTGGATTGGCATATTATTGTTTTAATTCACATACAATTCTTCATGAAATAGGGCACGCTATTGGATTCTACCATGAACAGAGTCGCCCAGACAGAGATCAGTATATCACCGTTTCGAAAAATGTTGCAAATGATTACAGTCTCTAATGTTGAAATAAAGGAAGGCATCGATACTTACGGCCTTCCGTACGATTATGAGAGTGTCATGCATTATTCTAGCCTCGGTACTGATAAAGATAACAGATACTTTATTTCTACAAAGAATCCAAAATTTCAAGATGTTATTGGAATGGGCCAACATCTGAGCTTCTATGATGTCAAACTGGCAAATTTGATGTATAACTGCAGTCAGAAATGTAACCCTTCTCTTAAATGTCCCAGCAATGGTTTTCTTGGGCCGAATTGTGAATGCTGGTGCCCGGGAAAGCCCATTGTAAAGTGTGATAGCTCACAACCCATTACTGTAAATGACATCGGCCTTCCACGAAAAGTTATGTGCGAAGCATTGTCAAGCCACTGTCAGTCTTGGAAAACTACAGGTGAATGCAACATCTCTGAGAATTATTGCCCCATGTTCTGCAGCTTTTGTGATGGACCTTTAGGGCAATAAAAAAACACATTTGGAATTGACTATGAGACAAGGAGTGAGGCGATGGTTGTTTTTCACAGGAAATTGATAACAAATATAGCTCTGTAGGCTCAAACTAGCATTTCTGATAACAGTGTATTTTGCATTATATTATTTACCACTGGATGGTCATTTACCCCAACCTGTAGTTTATAAAAATGCAACAGAACGGAAGAATATTAAAATTAAACTTTATAATCAGCTGCAATAAATTTCCTTCAAAACTGTCATTATTTCAAAATGGCTTCTGTTTATATTCAATTTGTTACACCCTGATAAAGCGTTAACTCTCAACTAACCCACCCCAGATATTCTTCTATTTTTTTGCTTCGAGCAGCTCCTTTTGTGTCGTTTCTTTCCTGTATTATTCTTCTCCTCTTGTTTTTATGTTCATCTTTTTTAATTTGTTTTCCTGTCTGCTTCAAATGAAGCACTTTCTTGTTATACCATTAACAGCATTGATTTATATATATATATATATATATATATATATATATATATATATATATATATATATATATATATATATATATATATATATATATGTGTGTGTGTGTGTGTGTGTGTGTGTGTGTGTGTTATTAAGTTCCAATATCTGGTCCTTTTCTTTTGGTTCACTCAGATTTATGTACCCCTCTCCATTAGCACCAGAATTATCAGTTGTTTATTAGTAACTGCTTTAGTTAGATTGGAAGGGGGGGGGGGGGAAAGGCGGGGGGGGGACTGTTTTAGTTAGATGTCCCTATATCAGACGCAGATACCACCACTCATTTGACCTTTAAGCTAAATATTTCAAGCTTGGAGCAGCTTAATTTTCTTTCAGTTGCTACAGTTCTTTTCATTTTCCAACTCATATCCCTAATGTCTCTGTACTGCTACTGAAATTTGTTTGATTATTCCCATTGAGGTGACGTCTAATGATTGCTATAGGTTTGCTCGATTGGCTTTTATGTTTTATGTGTCATTACTTTTGAAGAATTTAGATATAATTAATTGCAAGGGATGTGTTTTTAATTTATCCTACAAACGATTTATCGGGTTAGGTATGATGGGAAATTCAGAAGCTGGCCTTGCCATATTATATTACTAAACTGTGGAGGAGCTTCCAGTAAATGTGAATCGCCCTCTAAAAGAAATAAATAAATGCAAACAATATTGTTTTGTCTCACTTTCTATGTGTATGATTATGAAAGGAGCTCGAATGTGCGCCCCACCCCCTCCCCCCTTTCCCCTAATAAAAAGACACACAAAACGGCATATGGTAATGTTAATGTCCTGTGATGCAAATTCCTCCTCATCAACATCATCATTGTCATAAACTACTCATGTCGTTAAGCACTGTAGGAATAAATAATTTTCGTTCCAGTGCTTGATGGCTGGCACTAGCTTTTGTCATGCAGTTAAGGCGTAAAGTGTCTTTAATGATGTGGATCCATCTGTTTTGTCATCATCGTCATTGTGATGTTCATCATCATAAGGTTTTGTAGCTTTTAAAAAAAATTAAAATGTACTTTTCCATCCCTTGTTCCACATTTATTGCTTCTGTCATTCCAATCTGTCAGTTACCGACTTCACAATTAATGATGGCTGCAATGGATCTCCAACACGCAGTGTCCTTTGTACACTCTCTCAGATTGGTATCAGTCTTTCTTGTACTGCTAACCTCCAGTTGGTATCGCTGTCTATCTCTTTCTCGCTTGCTTTTAAACTTTCCCTCAACGTCTTGTCCGCATGCAAGAAAGCCCTAGGTCAAGGCTGATACACCTGGCAACACAACAAGGTGCTAAAAGAGTTAGCAGCCGTTGTTGACCAGGCTAGGATGCGGGCCAACGCGAGGGCCAGTCCTACCATCATCCCCATACGTTTCCTCAAGGCTAGGCAGATTCAAAAAGGTAAGATCAACCGAGGCGCATTCGATCCATCTGTGCTAGACTCTGCGAGGGACTGGTTACTGGCGGTTGATCTGCAGTGCCATGAAAGGTACCCTGAGTCAATCCGGAAGACCGGCCTGCGACCTGACATACTTCTCCACTCTGCGGAGAAACGGCAGCTCATCCTGATTGAGCTGACCGTCCCGTATGAGTCGCGTATGGATGAAAATCACATGTATAAGCTCGAGAAATACTGTGATTTAGCAGCCGGTCTGAGAAGAGACGAGGCGTACACAGTACGTGTCTTTGCCGTCGAAGTGGGAGCGAGAGGTCTCGTCTCCACTTCACTCTACAATGTGATTAAAGAACTAGGATTGCGCGGTAATGAACGGAAACGGACACTTAAACGGCTAGGCGAGGTTTCTGAGAGGGCCTCGAGCTGGCTTTGGACGCAACGGGACAACGTAGGGGACGGGCTTCGGTGAGCTGGTCCGGGTGCCTAGTGGAAAAGGGTTTCTCATCCCTTGAAAGTCCATCGTGTCCGAATTGTCTGCCAGTGTTCCTCTGCCACCTGCTAACAGAAGTCCAACATGTGTCCGGTATACCAATCGTAAGCTTGTCGCTCGGTTGTCCAGGTATGCAGACTGCTCTAATTATGCTACCGCGACGACTTCTTATCTCACAGTACCTTCTGCAAATCACCAAGTCGTCTTGTCCCTATCCGAAAAGAAAGCACCATCCGGTAATTTCGTGCAGCAGGGAAACCAACCCTGAGCTTCATGAACTCAGGTGGGCCCACTCTCTGAAAACGTCTAGGAGCTCGTGGGCCAAAACATTTGTCGACGAGAGATTACTTCTACTGACGATTGGTAGATCCCTGCTGTACTTGCTCCCCTGTGGAGTTTATTCTTATTGTTTAATAAGAGTGAAATATTGTCTAATTATGCCGAAATATTTCAATACCACCCAATCCCCTCCCCCTCCCTCCTCCCCAACCGCCACCCCAAATTGATTTGTTTATTTGTTTTTAACACTTGGAGAATCCCCAAACAGGAACAGTACTAAGAAACAAAAGGATTAAGGGAACAAGGACGTCCAAGAAAAACACTTAGAGGAACGTTGCTGAGAGAGGCCAAATACAATACATTACAACGTTTCAGCTGGGGTCAGAAAACACTGGTGCTCTCTGTCCTAACTCGCTGTATTTGTTGTTATCGAATCATGTGATCCTTTGTGTTTGTCAGTGTTTTTGTGCGTTTTGGTGTTTGACTTGGTTCGCCTTGGGACCATGGAACGTCGTCTGCTGGCAGGCACAAGTTGAAGTAGTCTGTTTCAGTTAGACCTTCATCTAGTGGGTAGCTCTCGTTCACTAGGACATTTCTGGCTGTGTCTAGTTCGAAATGGAGTGCCTTTGATCGTTCAAAGGCCCGCAGTGCTTCCTCGTTGGTGAAATGACACGGTGTGTTTACCTCTGCTGCTGCCTGAGCATCGAGTCTGGCTTCCCTTGCTTCCCGTAGGGCCTCTACCCTGTGTTTCTTTGCAAGTTCCAATCCGAAACCCCCTGGCGTGGCAGCTTTACAATCACTGCTCAACCCAGGCCAGTTCCCATGGATCTATCAGGAACACGATTCTTAGCTGCTAGTTTCTTAGTGCTAATTAATCCGCCGTCTATTGCCAAACGGGACTCAGCGATACACATATGGTGTATGGCCTAAGCGTGACCGGGCAGTGTTATCGCTATTACAATGCGCGTCACCTTGATTAACTGCTAAAACAAATACTGCATGGAATGTCTACTACACAAAGAACCTTAACTCTATACTATCTAGTCTAAACATAGAAACACAGCCTATCATCAATACTAAATACAAATACCCTATTACAACTAACCGTCGCTAAACATAATTGTTACCTAGTCACTTGTTCCGTCTTCTCTCGTCCTGTCCTAGCACACCACTCTCCTCAAACCAGATCGGACAAAGCCTTTTGTATTTCCCCCTGAGTTCACGGCTTAACACGCAGCAATCCGTGTCAACTGAGTGAACTGGACCTGGCCTGTTAACTGGACCCAGTTTATTGCGTGGCCAAGCTGTCCGCTCTCATACTGAGTTGTACTGAAGGTGAACTCGTACAAACGTGATGATACACTATCATCTGTGGTGCTTCCCATAACCGAACTGGCCTCTGACAGCAATCGAATCTGTGTCATGTATGTAGTTATCGACAATCGGACGACGAATGGAGCCTTAGCGAGAGGGTGACGAGAGGTGCTGCGCACGACGAGAGAGGCCAAAGGCGCTGGACTCGCATAATACAGAACGAATAAGTGATCTTTTTTTTATTGGGTTATGAATTGGGCACGTGTGCCCGACTTACAATCTGACTTTTGCGAAATGGAGAGCTAGGCTGCGAGCCCTATGTGACGTAACGCGGCACAACATGATGACGACGACGACGACGATGATGATGTTTCTCATGAGAATGACGACGTTGATGAATTAACATTTGATGAATCAACATGTTTAAGGAAAACCATGGACGAATTGTACATGTCTAGTTATCGATGTAGGCTAATGTCTACTTGACAGTCATGAATATTTTACGAAATGGAAAGAGGGCCAATATATATACATATATATGCACATTTA